AAATGGATATTGTCAATAAAAATATGCATAATAATATTTTTAGATACTGTAATTAGAAACCCATCAACATGTGACTAATTTTAAATTTTTTATACAGTAATTATAACATTTTATACTTGGAATTTCTATGTACGCTCCCTCCATTTTGTATATACATCTTTCGCGCTTTAATACAGTATACGTATAATGATAATTTATATCTGTTTTGTTTTTGTGTTCTTTTTTCTGTGGATTAATTTTTCGCTTTTACGAAAAAATATTTGGTAAAGAACTGCTGATCATACGACAACCTGTAGGCCACGTACTGTACAATCGCAAAGGAATTCACAATTAATTAATTAAATCAGTTATTTGTGTCAATTTAAGTTCTTTGTGACATTAATTAGAGCCAATCAGATAACTTAGTGACTGTTAATTAGTTTCCTGTGCCTATTGATACATAAATTCTCATTGTGCTTCTGTTCTATGCGTCATTATTGTGCCGTTTGTGCATTTAATATTTTTCATCATTCATATAATTGTTATAATTGTTAAATAAATTTTAAAATAACTTATGTTGAATATTATATTATTTCTGTTTTATGTAAATTATAATATCTTGTTTTCATGATATTTACAAGCCTTAAATCGAATCATGTTCCAGGAGTCGAATTACATTGGAGTTATGCTTTGCATAATCCTAGAATTTTGCAAGCAATTACTGGGATTCCTCAAACAATTTAATGTATAATAGGCAAATATCTATAATAATTGTTATTTTTAGTTTCTGTTTGAAAAAAGTTAGTTAAATTTTTAAGCATGTTTATATCTTGAGGAAGATTTATGCTTAAACTAAAGATTATGATTTTAAATGTTTCCGACATATTTAAACATTATTTTTTACGACATTTCGCAAAAATCATATCGTATTTAATAGAAATGTGTGTCGAATATTTTCATGAGATATTAGATATTAAGCAATTGAAGTCGAACAAGAAATAAGTCTGACTGCAATTTAAGGTCTTGTCAATACAATAATATTGAGTAAAAAGCTATCTTTTATAGAAATTTATCTGAATTTCACTTCTAAAACTTCTGATATGACAATATCTAATGTTTTTTCGTAATAGAATACCGATTTGCTCATTATTTCTCTATTTTTATTTCTTATTTAAGATTTTTGAACTATAATGAACAATTTAAATTGCGACCAGACAAGTTTCAACATAATTATCTAAACGCAGCGCAACTGATTACAACTGCGAAAGTACGCCCATTATTATGTAAGACAGTTGGTAAACATGGAAAGTATAAAAAAAAACGTATTTCATGTACTGCGTGTGTCTTACAATGAGTGGAAACTCGTGATAAAACGAATTTTCGAATATTAAAAAAAATCATTTTTCATTTTAAACCGTTTATTGTTTTCAGAGTAAATTTTAAATTCTGAAACGTAGCGTTTAGCATATATCTGCTTATTCACGAATGACGAAAAATAATATTTAATTAAAGAAATTCGTTATTGTTACAAGACTTATTATATATATATATATATATCGGCGTTATTCGAGAACCCACTGTATATACATAAACACAGTAAGTTCTTGAATAACGTCGTTTTATTATAATGTTGATGAAAAAAACCGATTTCCGGCCAAGACCGCTGTCTGTGGAGAGTTGGCACATTCTCCTCGTGTCTAGAAGGTTTTCTCCGTGTACTCCGGTTTCCACACATATGCGAAAAAAGTGCACGTTAAATTGGTTGGCGTATGTAGATTTTCTTAGTATGAGTGAGTATGTATATGAATCCGTCGTCTAATGATATGACATCCTATTCAAAATTAGTTGGTATTGCTGGGACCCTGGGTTGCTGGGAGAGGCACCGTCTATCCGCGACCCTGAATTGAAATAAGCAGATTTGAAACTGAGTAAATGAATGAATGAAAACTACCGTAAAATAAAAATTCGTAGAGGGTACGATAATAAAAGTGCAAGACAATAAATGACGCTGTATAAAAATGCTCATGATAAAGCCTCCTTCCACATTACCACTCACTATTACATCACCTCGGTTTCTTAGATTACTGATTCACAAAAATTTGGCAAATAATTTTCATAATGTTTTTCTAATCTTTTAAAAAGTAATATAAGTAATCAAGGTGGCTAACTAAGTTAATATTAGAAGTATTTATGTGTTAGAAATTTGGTCTTGCTATTATGACCAGAAGTATACTTAATTTCTTACTTAATTCTTGCTTATATCAATTAGCTTGTGGTATAATTGGTTTTGTTATATGTCGTTTTGTTTATAGTCCCGTTTCCAAAAATGTACCTAAGACGTTAATTAAGATACTTGATAGATGCATAACATAATTATATTTTATCTAATATCATACAGAGCATGTACAGTACATTTACTTCTGTGCAGCTGCGCCCACATACTATGAAAAAACGAAGGGTACAAGCGATAAAAAAAGCATCTATTAAAAAGCATTATATGGAACTTGAACTCCATGATTCGACGTCGGATCAGCGCTCGTACAAGATGGCGCTGGTTGCACTCGGGCCTTAACTTGGCCTTAAAATCAAAGAATGGGATTTTGGTTAACGTACGACGAAGTTGCAGGCATCGAAGGACGAATACCATTTATTAGTTTATTTTATATTCGCAGAATAGGCTGGAAGTCACGAGTTCTCTGTTGTTTGGGTCTCTTCTTGGAATTAGAAAAAGGAAAACCGAGACAAAAAGAAGGGCACATGCTCAAGTGCCCCAATGTAGAGACGCACTGTTTTTATGGTTCGGTTAGGTGGCTGTCCCAATAGGAAACTATTGCTCGTTTCTGGGAACGGCAGTGGAATAAGAGTGATTCTTATTATTTATTATCAATTTAATTAATTTTAAAAATTTACAGAATTTTCAGAGTCAATTAGTTTTTCCAAATAAGCAAAAATCTATAAACTATTACCCGTGTCACGTCGAAAGTAATATCCGTTCCACCAAAAAATCGTTACACTACTGGTCATATAGCGGTCAGCTTTATAAACGAATCTATCAGTTATGAAATGCAGGGCGGGATGCAATAGATGCGAGGCCCGATTGAATTTCTTTTGCGGGGCCCCTCAAACCCTAAATAACAAAATTAATTAACAGTTAATTTACATATTGAAATATCGATTTTAAATATTTATTTGAAGCAAAATCCAAAATCCAATTATAAAAATCAAAAGTCATGAACCACAAGGTAGACAAATTTCTACGAATATAAAAACTCCATTTTATTGAATATAAACATACATAGATATGTTTTAGTATTTTTATAGTTTTAAATGAATATAACTACATAAATTTTTGCCATGAAAAATCTTCTAATATGTTGATGAATGAATATAACTGAATTTTATTGAATATCTAAATATATAAAATTACTTGTCCAGACTGATTTAGTCACTGATTCATCATCGCCCAGAGAAAACCGCTGAACCTAAAGAGTGAAATTTGATACACAGTTAGGGTACGTCATGGAAACGCACACTAAGAAAGGATTTTTCGAAATTCCCAAGTGAGGGGAGAGTGAGAACATTAAATCTTAACCGGAAAAACGGCTTCTACTGTACTATTTTAGATGCGATTTTTTGTTTTTAACTGCGTATTGGTAGGGTACGCCATGGAAATGCACACAAAGAAGGGATTTTTCGAAATTCCCCGGCGGGGGGAGAGAGAGCATTGAGGATTAACCTGAAGAACGACTTTTGAAATTAATTCCATACTTTCCCTTAAATTGATAACATTTCAGACATTGTTATAAATATTTTCATATATTTCGATTTTTTAACCAAATGTTCGAACAGTTTTAAATTCGAATTTGTTATTGCATATTGGTTCGATTATAGAACGATTGATCAAAACGACGTTCCAGAAAATTGATCAAATTGAAAACAGTTAGTTTTATTCTCGGCAATTCTCATCATTCTCAGCGGTAGGTGTTATATATCAATTACTATGGTTATTGAAATACTGAATATAAATGGGATTTGCTTGCAAAACCTCCGCGGGCGAAGTCGCGGATAACAGCTATTAAACATATAAAGAAATGTTTTATATGTTTCGAAGTTTTGTTCTGTAAAATCTTCTAAGATAGTATTAAAATCCATCTGGCTTTCTTCTTGACTCTCAATCGACACGATCGACACGAACTTTTTAAGAAAAAAATTTTTTGTTATATTTTTAATAATAATATACCAAGATATTTATTTTTGTAACATGCATTATTTTTAAATATATAAATTTTGTTATGCTGCGTAGCCCCTTCAAGCGCGGGGCCCGATTGGCGCAAATCGCTCCAATTGTCTCAAATCCGGCCCTGATGAAATGTCTGTTAATGTCTGTTTAACTTACTTTTTTGTAAGGATTGTTCTGTGCGTTCGAATCTTAAAGCTAATTATGACTTACGTTCGACAGATTCAGTCTCTCAGAACTTAAGAGACATAAGGTTTATATGGGATATCGATGAATCGATTCATCATAAAGCTTTTAGACATGCTTCACGATGAGTCGCTTTTTGCTATTGATTATCTTTATTTAGCAGAAAGGTATGCCCAAGCATACCAATTAAATGAACAAATTAGTTATTTTTGCATAATTTAATTTTTCATCAGCGAATGACGGCAGACCATTCGATTGTTTCCGCATTTTACTAATAATATAGCTTTCGTCAGATATTTAATTGCATGTTATTTGAATACGAAAAATTGAGATGGTTTTTTTATATAAATAAAAATAAAATAAATTAGATAAAACACGGTTGCGTAGAAAACAATCAGTTTATTTATAAAATCTTGCATAACGTGTTGTAATGTTTACTCAAGTTCAATTGAGATTTTGTTAGAAATTTTGATACTAACATACTTTCATTCTTTTATCATTAATCTTTCTTTTAAAGGTGAATAGCGAGGGACCTTTCATTGGATAAATTTTAATTTCATTTTAATATCTAACTGTTAATATGCGTTGTTATTCGTTGAAGATTATCTACAGAATATGCAAATCTAATATAAAAGTGTGATTTTTATGAAATAGTTAAAATTTCCATTATTTGTTTAATTACAGTTTAAAAACTGGTGAGTATACAAATTTACATGTAGACACTTTAAATAACTAATTTTTAATAGATAATATGATAGTACCTAACATTAATAACCGTCTTTGGTTCATTATTTTTTATGTACAGTATTTCATATGTTTAAGGCATTATTTGCATATAATGTACTGTACACATGAAAGAGAAGAGTGGAACTTTAACAGAACAATTTTATAATTTATTGTCCATATTTAATGAAATGTTTTGTAATACATTGCAATTGAATGTTTTAAGATTTTAGTGTAGTTTTACTGAACGTTGCTTTTAAATTTAATTGAAAATATTATTGTAAAATGTAAATCTGTGTAATATGTTTTTCGCAAATAAGTCCATAAAAAACGTTTTGTACAGTAAGTTTTTATTAACCCATATGCCGTTGATTTACATTACCATATATTTATATAAACTGTTCTATATACTTTAATCTTAAAAAGTTATTAACAACATGAAACAATAACATATTTTATTTCAGAAAATGAAGGTTTNGTTCGATTATAGAACGATTGTAAACGTTGCAGAAAATTGATCAAATTGAAAACAGTTGGTTTGATTCTCGGCAATTCTCATCATTCTCGGCGGTAGATGTTATATAACAATTACTATGGTTATTGAAATACTGAATATAAATGGGATTTGCTTGCAAAACCTCCGCGGGCGAAGTCGCGGATAACAGCTATTAAACATATAAAGAAATGTTTTATATGTTTCGAAGTTTTGTTCTGTAAAATCTTCTAAGATAGTATTAAAATCCATCTGGCTTTCTTCTTGACTCTCAATCGACACGATCGACACGAACTTTTTAAGAAAAAAATTTTTTGTTATATTTTTAATAATAATATACCAAGATATTTATTTTTGTAACATGCATTATTTTTAAATATATAAATTTTGTTATGCTGCGTAGCCCCTTCAAGCGCGGGGCCCGATTGGCGCAAATCGCTCCAATTGTCTCAAATCCGGCCCTGATGAAATGTCTGTTAATGTCTGTTTAACTTACTTTTTTGTAAGGATTGTTCTGTGCGTTCGAATCTTAAAGCTAATTATGGCTTACGTTCGACTGATTCAGTCTCTCAGAACTTAAGAGACATAAGGTTTATATGGGATATCGATGAATCGATTCATCATAAAGCTTTTAGACATGCTTCACGATGAGTCGCTTTTTGCTATTGATTATCTTTATTTAGCAGAAAGGTATGCCCAAGCATACCAATTAAATGAACAAATTAGTTATTTTTGCATAATTTAATTTTTCATCAGCGAATGACGGCAGACCATTCGATTGTTTCCGCATTTTACTAATAATATAGCTTTCGTCAGATATTTAATTGCATGTTATTTGAATACGAAAAATTGAGATGGTTTTTTTATATAAATAAAAATAAAATAAATTAGATAAAACACGGTTGCGTAGAAAACAATCAGTTTATTTATAAAATCTTGCATAACGTGTTGTAATGTTTACTCAAGTTCAATTGAGATTTTGTTAGAAATTTTGATACTAACATACTTTCATTCTTTTATCATTAATCTTTCTTTTAAAGGTGAATAGCGAGGGACCTTTCATTGGATAAATTTTAATTTCATTTTAATATCTAACTGTTAATATGCGTTGTTATTCGTTGAAGATTATCTACAGAATATGCAAATCTAATATAAAAGTGTAATTTTTATGAAATAGTTAAAATTTCCATTATTTGTTTAATTACAGTTTAAAAACTGGTGAGTATACAAATTTACATGTAGACACTTTAAATAACTAATTTTTAATAGATAATATGATAGTACCTAACATTAATAACCGTCTTTGGTTCGTTATTTTTTATGGATTTTATATGTTGAAGGCATTATTTGGATATAATGTACTGTACACATGAAAGAGAAGAGTGGAACTTTAACAGAACAATTTTATAATTTATTGTCCATATTTAATGAAATGTTTTGTAATACATTGCAATTGAATGTTTTAAGATTTTAGTGTAGTTTTACTGAACGTTGCTTTTAAATTTAATTGAAAATATTATTGTAAAATGTAAATCTGTGTAATATGTTTTTCGCAAATAAGTCCATAAAAAACGTTTTGTACAGTAAGTTTTTATTAACCCATATGCCGTTGATTTACATTACCATATATTTATATAAACTGTTCTATATACTTTAATCTTAAAAAGTTATTAACAACATGAAACAATAACATATTTTATTTCAGAAAATGAAGGTTTTTGTTGTTTCGATATTGTTAGCGGTTGTGACGATAATCAGAGGACAAGCAATTTGTCTAGATTCTAAGTATCAATGCAAAGAAGGTAAGGTTTTGTATTTTTAATTCATTGATTAATTTTTTACTTAATAAATATATTAAAATTTCATGTTTAGATCAAACTTGTTGCCAGGCTAACGAAGGATACGGATGTTGTCCTATGGAGGATGCGGTATGCTGTTCAGATCTTCAGCATTGTTGTCCAGATGAATATATCTGCGTAGATCAATTTAAAATCTGCGTGAAGTATCCAGATGTGACCGGAAAACATAATTTTACAAGAAAATTAGAGCCTCTCCGAGAAACTTTCTCTTTAGTTAGCCACTCGTATTCATGTCCACTATGTCCTTTTTGGGCGACTTGTTGTTCGATGACTACAGGCCAAATAGGCTGTTGCCCTTTTTCAAATGCTGTCTGTTGTAGGAATAGGAACACCTGTTGTCCACCAGGATATAGTTGTTATTTGTCAGGGTTGTGCAGATCTAACACGGAGCCAAAGAAGATTCCAAAAATCCAGAAAAATTCAATTGCTTTATCAGAATACAAGTCGTTGGTGCGAAGTTCGGTAGATCTTGTACAGTGCCCCGATGGCAATNTGGCAGGGTTGTGCAGATCTAACACGGAGCCAAAGAAGATTCCAAAAATCCAGAAAAATTCAATTGCTTTATCAGAATACAAGTCGTTGGTGCGAAGTTCGGTAGATCTTGTACAGTGCCCCGATGGCAATTATTGCAATTCTGGAAATAGTTGCTGTTTGATAGGATCTAACACTTATGGGTGCTGTCCCTTTCCTCGAGCTGTATGCTGCTCTGATAAAGTTCATTGTTGTCCTAATGGTATGACATGCGACAGTTCAGGTTTCTGTACCAATGGATTGGATATTATTTCTTGGTTTGAGAAAAAACCAGCAATTAAACGACCTAAAATAGAAAGCTGAAGTTTTGAAGTTGCATGCAATTGTTTTGATTATTATTATTTTTTTGAGAGTATAAGTTTCTGTAATTAATTAACTTTCGATTAAAATGATTTAAACTTGTTTGTAATCAAGATTACAATAATGTATAGCAATTCAATTTTCGAAAATTTGATATTATAAATATTAAAATTAAAATTTGTTTCTCTTAATAAACTATTAATTACTTTCATTTACAACATGTATTTTCTTTTAGTTTATTTAAAACTAAAAACAATCTTAATCCAATGGTTTAAATGTAGAAAAATAAACTAACTAATAAAAAGGCATATAAGTACTGGTATAATATATACTGTATATCAATTCATTTCATTTATTTACAAAAGAAAATTTAAAAAGTAACTAAAAATCATATAATTTGAAATAAGCTAGATTAAATTTTTATATTAATCCTTATTTCAATTTCAATTAAAGATTGAAATAATTGATTACTTTATTAAAATTTCTGTATAAGTTACAAACATACTGGAAATTTTAATTGATTGTTGATAAATTATTTAAGAAAGTTTATAAATTAAAATTTTGCTTTGCTTCTAAACGAATTTTGCAGCATAAGTTCAATTACACACGTACCGGTATACCTGAAGGCGTGAAGGACAGAACTTTTAATTGTTTTCCCACCGCACGTTCAGATATACCGGATAGATGCACCTGTTCAGGTATACCCGTACGTGTGTAGCCTGTTTAAGAATTGTTCTTGGCGGATTCTGTTCTGTTCAGAAAAATAAAGTTTAATCATATCGTTTAATCAAGATCAAGGTTATTATGTGGAGTTTATAAAAGTTTATTATAAACAATATCATTTCTAAAATAACGTGTTTGATAAAAACTAATTAAAACCAATTTAAATCGTAGAAGAACGTTAAAAATTAATTTTACGAAATGTGTATTTCAATTGATTAAAATAAATTTTTGATATTTTTTAATCAATTTTTTCTATAATGCATTAGTTTCCAACCTGGGAGGCGTGAAAATTTTTGAATAAAAAATTAATTTTTATGCCATAATATGAACAAATAAGTAAAATTTCATATCGTAACGTAAAAATTCTGTGAATGAATGTTTATTTTTATTTTTTAACATTTCTATACTTACATTTAATTCCTATTACAATAATTATCCAGAGCGGAAAAATTTAAAAATGGCGTGTGCGCAAACGTTCTGTTTCGGTAATGCATAAAACGATCGCCAGTTGCATGAAAACGATAAACTCAAATTTAAATGTCACTCGTAGATGAAGTGTCAACTGAAGCGTGTCGGCTGGGTGAGATTTTATTTTTCTATTGTTTTTCTCGTGATTTTTTTCTGAAAATAAACGTTAGTATATTTTAATCAATTAGAAATTGTATTCTTCATCAATATAAATTTATATCAATAAAATATTTTTTAGACGAATGGATAAATTTTTGAGTGATTACAAAAGTCAACAATAATGAAGATACTTATGCTTAATAATCAAAATTAAACGTTCAAAAAAATACTTTCTGTACCACTAAATGCATTATTGGCTTCGTATCATGTCTATTACCGAATCGCAAAATGTAAGAAACCACATACAATAGGAAAAACTCTAATTTTTCCAGCATTATTGATATGGTTCGAATAATGTACAGTCGGAAGAAGAATCAATGATATATATGAAGATCTTTACGATCAATTAGTCAATTTCTCGACTGCGTACTTCGAAATTCGTCATACAAGTAGATGAGGCAAATAATATAGGTAAAGATGTTTATTTACTTGCATATGTTCGATATGTTGCGGAAAAGAATATATTAGAAGTTATATTACTTTGCAAACCTATTCTTGGAAAGACCACATCCATTTGAAGAAAAGTTCAGTTGACAGTTTTTTTTTTTTAAGAAAACAACATAACATGGAATAATTGCATTAGACCGTGTACTGACGGAGCTCACTCAATGTCCGGATACAAAGCAGGTCTTCAAGGATTAGTTAAAAAGAAAGCACCATATGTTATCTGGACGCACTGTATGCTTCAAAGAGCAGCTCTAACGTCAAAAAATATAAGCGAGAAAGTTATAAAATTATAAACTAATTAAAAACAGTTTTTTGAGAATTAAGCTGTTTGCAAAGCTGTGTGGAAGCTAATTATACCTCACTTCTGTATTACTGTGAAGTTTGTTGGCTATCCTCTTTCAAAGTGATTCAAAGGATGTTTGAAGGCAAAGAAGAAATAGCAACCTTTCTATAGCTCACTAAAAGTTTCAAAATGAAACATTAATTCAATTTTGAGTGAATCTTAGCGCAGAGTATGAAGTTTTGTATTGCAAAGCAATGCAATTACTTCTACTGTTTGTAGCATTTTATTTATGCGAAACGGGCTTTACGGCACTGGCTAAAATGAAAGCCAAATACCGAGCCAGGTTAGTGGTCGAAAAAGAGATACGAGTGGCACTGTGCACATTGCCCCCAAGATTTGATAAACTTTGTGCCAATAAACAACAACAACCCTCGCATTAAATTTTGATGCCATAGATGTAGTTGGTTTAAATGATTAAAAAGAATTTCATATAAAAATAAATATACTTGTACTATATATACATATATGTTATAGCAAAAGCTTTTTTATTGTTTAAAATGTGTCTATATTATTATATCTATTAAAAAAAATAAAAGGTGGGAAAGCGCAGACATTTTTTTTTCGGGGAGGTGTTAAGACGGCTAGACACTGGTATTTATCTATCTATTCACTTTGTATAAACGATAATGCGAAAATTGCAATAGGACAGTTTTCTATTGGACTGAATGTATGTTGTTGGTTTTTGAAACAACATTCACTTTGTTAATTCTAAATTCAGTTATCAATTTTAAAAACTTAACATTAAATATTGTTTCATTTATTTTACATTACATAAGTGCTTATTTTCTATATTGATATAACAATTCTCAATTAAATGCATTTGAAAGAAATAATTTTAAATAATAATAAATATTTTACCTGGTTTTAAAAACAAAATTATAATTAGATTAAAGTTTAATCAAATATTTTAATTTAATTTTCTGTCAGTAAAAATAAGATGTCAATCTCTATAATATGTTCTTCGCAAATAAGTCCATAAAAAACATTCTGTAGAGTAAGTTTTTATTAACTCATACGCTATTAATATAAATTATCACATATCGAAATTACTCTATATACTTTAATCTTAAAAAGTTATTAACAACATGAAACAATAAAATATTTTATTTCAGAAAATGAAGGTTTTTGTTCTTTCGATATTGTTAGCGGTTGTGACGATAATCAGAGGACAAGCAATTTGTCTAGATTCTAAGTATCAATGCAAAGAAGGTAAGGTTTTGTATTTTTAATTCATTGATTAATTTTTTACTTAATAAATATATTAAAATTTCATGTTTAGATCAAACTTGTTGCCAGGCTAACGAAGGATACGGATGTTGTCCTATGGAGGATGCGGTATGCTGTTCAGATCTTCAGCATTGTTGTCCAGATGAATATANTTGGCCATGCAAAACTTATTATTTTTTACTTGAAATGTATTTTGTGATTGTGGCAAGAACACCAGATGACGCTTTTATCATTTTTTACATTTTAACTACGGAGGCAGTAGCCTAAAAAGGAAGGTCGTCTCCGTGAGTTTGTGATTTTATGAACTGCTGATGGTGCGAACAACGAAAGAAATGACTGAAACAAAATTTTTTTGTAAGAGTCGTACTTTTATTTTATTAATATAAAATAGTCGTTGGCCATGCAAAACTTATTATTTTTTACTTGACATCTTAGTGTGTTTGTTCACTATTAAACAAATACCAAATACATTATAGAAAAATTAAATGCCCTATTGACATGTTCCGTGAACATGTCAATAGGGCATTTAATAAATTTAAGACATCCGAATAGACAGAGTACAGCGAATGAAATCGAACCAGCTGGCGTAAAAATGGCTAATAGGCAGTGTTCTGGCTGTCACCCCTCAATGGCTACGTTCATTAGACTAAACATTTCCGGAGCTGTTGAGTATTTTTCTGCTGAACGTCATGTACAGTACAGTTTTGGAACATGTTTGATATTTGACGTCACATTAAATAACAAATTTCGTAATTGATCAAGGTTGTCTGCGTCCACATAGCATGTTACTGAATTATACGACCGAATACTTTAAATTATTTAAAATATAACACCGAGAGGAATGAAATGCGTCACACTTTATATCTACAGATGCTAATATAATGATAGAGGCGCCATCTGTTGCCAGAAAAAGTATTTACCTAATAAAATAATAATACAGTATATACAGTGGATGATCGGTTAACGAACAAATCGGATAACGAACACTTTTGCGAAAGATTTTTATGTTCGGACAACGAACACATGATCGGATAACGAACACGTCACAGAACAAACATAAGAAGATACGACGTAAAATAACGAATACCGATTGGTCTTTCTTCCCTTGTCTTGGGACAACAATTCGAAACTTTTTGGAGCTTGGGAGACATCGACATCCACGCACTATCCGGTATATTCTGATCGGATAGTATTCCTCCGAACATTGAAACTCTCCTTGTAATTCCAGCCTTTTATTTTTCTGACAGAAACAATTTTTTTATAGTATTCGCGAGACTGTCGGGAAATGAAAACGACGCAAAACTCGTTAAGTTATGCGTCGGTTTTCATTTTCGAAAGGTGAGGATATAATAGCAAAGGTAGAGAGTGGGCATATGTCTGATGTCTGTTGTTGCTTGGCAGTATGGCTTGAACAGGTCTACAGTTGGCCGCAGTTCAATCTTATCTAAGAAAGATACTGTATTATCAAGAAGACTCAAGCAGCTTAAGGAGTAACAAAAATTACATCTGAGAAATAAAGAACATTGAAGAGCTTATAATCTGAAACGGATCTAACGACAGAAGAACGCCAAGAACTCTTGAATGAAGAACACGAAGAAACTCGGCGAGATATGTTTTCTTCTGAAAAAGAGAATTAATATCGAAATCTGCTATTAAACTTTTTTTTTTTTTTGAAAAAGTGGGATGATGTCAGAACGAAGGTCTTAGAATGGCATCCAAACTAGGTTGAGGTTAATAGGCTTAGGGATGTCTACAATTACAATGCTATTAATTACTTCTGAAAAGTCTTGAAGAAGAGAGAAAAGCAAATCGACATTAGACAGATTCTTTAACCCCCACAAACGGAAAAAAACATGACTAATAAAAATGCAAGACTGTGTATACAGTCGACCCCCTATAACACTGTTGATTTTTCCGTTTTATATGAATTCCATGTTGTACGAGTCAGTTAGATTTTACAAATACGTGAGCCGTTTACAGCCTGGCACACGTATTTGTAAAATCTAAGTGACTCGTACAACATGGAATTCATATAAAACGGAATAATCAACAGTGTTATAGGGGGGTCGACTGTA